AACAAGTATTTGTCTACAATTGCATCGATTGTTTATGTAGGCCTTGCCTGACGCGCAAAGCTTTGCATTTAGATACTAAAGGGTTTTCTGTGCATACATGCAATTGGAGACATGTGATGTATTTCACGCTGTTTGGAAGCTTTCCCATTTTCGAGCGTTGGGACCGCCTGTGCCACGCTACTCTTGCTACATTGTGATCACCATAACCATGTCTTGCCTATCTTTTTCGCCGGGAGTTCCGTTTCCCCCTGCGAACGCAAGGCAGCGTGAATAATTCCACAGAGGTCACCATCTTAACGTGATCGACAAAGTTCATTAGTGGTAACTCTCAATGCCAGGCCCTGGAACTGACCCTACCATCCCGCATGCCGACGAATCAAAATGCTGACACAATGCGTGAAAAAGATAGGACAATTCGCAAAAAATTTAACGACATGATCCAGAGCATTCCGGACTAATCACGACAACGTCCAGGTTCGTTCCTGAGATACGTTGCATTTCAGGAGCTGTCCTGAGCATTCTGAGTAAGTTCATCCAGGGTGGATGTGAACTGTTTTGAATTACATGTTATTGTTGGTCTATGGATTATCAAAATCAGTATAGCTGGATGATTATCAATGTGTTATTGTATATGTATATATATATATGTATATATATATATATATATATATATATATATGTATATATATATGTATATATATATATGTATATATATATATATATATATATGTCTGAATGCACAAATTTTAATGGCGCATGCATGGCCATCCGCTAAAGCCATCCGTGAATGCCAGGCGTCAATAGCTGTCCGCAGAATAGCCATCCGTTATCTGCGCGAGGCTGCCCATATATTGGCTGGACACAAACCATGCTGCGGTATATCTGATAGACCCTCGCGTGATGCCTACTTGTGCTGTTGTTATTGTTATTGCACCAATGGCAGTTTATGACTCTGCTGATGAGCACTGAGATACATGGAGTTTAGCTGATTTGCCTGATTTGGCTGTTCCGTTATTCGGCAGGATCCCGACACGGCCGTGTACCTTGGTACCGGCTATGGGCGGTCGCACTCTGCAGCCGCGGGGACGGCATGCCGTCTACGAAACACGACGTGAGCTGTGGCGGGCGGCCCTTCGTTGCACACAGCAAACTCATGCAGACTGCCTGACACTGGTATGTGGGCGGTATTGATCTCTTTGTGCTGCTCTTCACCTGTGCGTCATAAGCCGCAGAGCTGGCGTCTTCACGGCGAGCTGCCTGGGCTTCCAATGTAATAATGGTGTCGGCGGGCCTAAAGAAATGTATTTCTCAAAAGGATTGGTTTGGCTGTCTGTCGTCCTCTCACCTAGATGATGAGGTCATGATCTTTCTTGGTGTCGGGCATACAGCAGGCCTGATCTCAATGGCTCGGACGGGGGCGGGTATTTCCCTTTGTATTCTTATTTGATAAGGTGGGGGGCATGGATGATTTTTTGATTATGTAATAAGTATATGCTAAAAGTAAGCATCTTGCGATGTAATTTTTTTAAATGCGCTCTCTAAACGTATGCTACTTACGAGCACCATAGAGGAACGTTTCGCCGTAGTCGATTGTAGAATTGTTCTGCTGGTCCCGGTTACGCGGGACAACGAGCTTCTTGCAGGTAAGCCGCGGCGCGACGCTCATATCCTTTGCCGCTTCGTAATTATTTGTGATCGTGATGGTGCGTTGAATAGGCATAGTTGAAAGAGTGCGTTTTAGTGCTTAGTGAGCACTGTTCAATCGAAACAGTGCCATTTAAACAAAGGTGTACTCCATCAACTAAAATAGTTGATTCGAACATGGGATGCGACAGAGCTTGAATTTATAACGATAGCCTTTTGTGATGGAGCTCGAAACAGTTGTGAATCATTCCTCAGTTGTGAGCGACTTTGTGTAAACTGTGATTGCTTCATGCATGATGATGAATAAAAGATACGCTGGAAAACCGCAAGCTTAATTTGAAATGGAGCTAGAGTGCGATGGAATACAGAGTGCGGCGGAATGGTTAAATGCGACGTGGGGGCGTCTAACAAATAACATGTGCATTAGAAGCCACGAGTCCAAGTCGAAATGAAAGTAGAGTTAAATGAATGCGAGAAGCGGCACAATGATTGAATGCGAGATCACCTCATGTCTCTGATCGTGACCGTGGTTATGGCCTTCCAGCAGGTTCCAGGCTCCGGCAGAAGTGCTAGCCTTGTAATCAAAATTTGGGGAATGTGCATTTAGCTTTAGTTAAGCAAGAACCGTATAGAACCTACTATCGTGTTGGGTATCCTTTTTATCCAGTTCGTTACCCTGTTGTTTTGCTAGGAAACGGTGCGTAAAGCTTTCTTGGACGTAATGTGGCCACTCAAACCCGGTTTTGCCTGATTGTCAGCATTGTTTCTGCCGGCTGGTTCTGCCACTTCTCATAAGGTGCTTAGAACGTCTCACGTTCATGTGGCACGAGGGTGTTAAAACACCTCATACTCAATCATGTTTATCACATTTTACTGAACCCTTTCTAACACCATTTTTACAAATCGATCGGGATAAAAAGTAACGAGGACAGCTGCAAAAATTCCTTCCGGAGTACAGTCAAGCTTTTGCGGTCTGCTGCAGGCGCATGCCGAACAGAAAGAGGACCCAGCGTAAACCTGATCATCACAACACGGGTCCAGTCCACTGGCCCCGCACGGCCCAGACCTCGGGGAGGCCCTGGATACCCGATACACTGAGTGACAGGTCAGGCTTCGTGCCGCGCCGAGGGATTGCTTTTCGCCTTCCGGTGGCGAACTCTGGAGCACACTTACGTAAGCCCAGACATCGATTAGAAAATAGTGACTCGGGCGTTCGAGTGAAGCTGAGCGGTTCAGATCTGTCCCACTGTGCCCGGAGACAACATCAGTCATCCGCGGGTGGCCACGACCTCTGGGCGGCGCGGTGTGACCTCTCATGGGGTGACCTTCCAGCCGGGATGGGCAGGCCGCGGCCGCCGCCGGGCTCGCCGCGGCCGGTGACCGCCATTCGTGACCTCCGACCCCTCACTGACAGCCGGTCCTGCCAGCGCGGAGTGGTACCAGACGTCAGACGCGGCTGGTCGTGGCTGCAGCTGTGAGACGCACCCGAGGTGCAGATGCCGAGAGATGCACCGAGATGCAGATGGGATGCAGATGCGTCCGGCTGTGGAGTGCCGGCATTGCCCGGGTGGCTGCCAGCGGCAGCCTAGTGCGCCGCCAGCGTCATTACGCAGATCCAAGGTTGAATGGACGGGCTGTGGGCTCTTGCTTGCATGCCGTGTCTAGACCATTTCGGCATTTTATGGGAGGACCCGTGCGTAGCCAAGTTTCAGTCAGCGTTATGACAGCTGAATTCCGAAATAGCTTACCTGGACCGCAGTACTTGTGCGGTTGGACGTGGAGGCGTGGGAGTTGAAATGCAAGTTCGAATCAGAGCTAAGCATTTCAAGCCGTCTGTTTTAAGTGACACATCAAAGCATTACCTTGCCGATCTAGCTAGAGGAAATCGAGTTCAGCCAATCGCTTGATTTTTCTTCAAAGTCATGGCATCCATTGATGCAAGGCACAAATATGATTTCGACGCTTGAATGAGTATGTTTTTTTTATTCTTTCATCAAAGTTGTTGCGACCTGCGTATAAATCCCAGCGATGTTATGTCAGACACAAGATAAAAGGAAATGGAGCCGATCAATGGCGCAAGCCAATACCAATGTCGGCCTTTGTTACGGACGAAGTAGAGCCCGATGGTGCATGCTTACGTTTTCAACAACTTAATTCAACCACACGTCTGTAGTGTTTTGCCAGTCGTTTAGGATAGACCCTTCACTTTATTCCGTGCCTCCAAAAATATCATTCGCATTACATTATTGCTTTCGATACTGAGCCTGCCCAACTAGCGTCAAAGGCATCCTTCGCTGTCTGTTTCTGTCTCGCCCGCCAAAACCCTGTATATTTGCCGCTCTTGCCCCCTCCGCTGTGTTTCCTTCTCTAACGCCGACCCGGTCCGGACGACACCGGGCTGGCGTCCAGAAGTGCCCTGGTGGTGACCTGTCCCTGTTGAAGGGCGCGCCGCGCCAGTGCTACAGGGAAATCGATGGGGAGCGGTTGGCCACCCGTCCGGGCTGCTGCCCCCACTCCCATTCTGTATTCGTATTGTGACGAAGACGGAGTGAGAATGGGGGCAGCAGCAGCAGCAGCAGCTACGTTTTTCGTCTACGTGGTCTAGGTTTTTGTTATAGGTTAATGTTTCTTATTATATTTATTTGGAAGTAACATATCTCAAATAGTTATCAACATTTTATATCATTACACATCATATATCATACATCAACATATCAACAACAATGATAAACAAAAGTTAGTATTATCCCTCCGGCGTTTTGTATGAAACGGTCTCCGTTCTGATGGTTCACGCTTCAGCAAAAATATCGGAAGTTGCGGGGAGTCTTCATATTGCTCAACCACTCGTCGAATAAGAACGTTAGCATACGTTGGGTTTGGTTAGACGGTTATGCCGTCTCGTTCCGGCACGCTCTGGAACTGTTCTCGCAGACTTGTTCTGGAACTGCTTTCTGGCGATTGATCTTTCTAGGCTTCAAAAACCGGACACGAAGGGTTGTTTGCAGAAGATATGCACATAACGCCGGTTAGAAGTGCGGGTGTTGAATGCTGAAATGCACTTGAAATGGTGGATGTCGTTAGTAAACTCTTTTAAAAGAAGCATTTTGCTGATGGAGTGAGTGAATGAGTTAATTAACCGGATTTGTCATTAGCGCAGTGACATGACACTTCGAACAAAAGCTGCTTATCGGGAAGATCGCACAAGGAATATTCACGTGTTTTGGCCAAAAAAGGTAAAAAAAATATTACAATGGGGCAAAAATTCCGACAGCGTCTTTCTAGTGGCAGTTAGGGTTAGGGCACGGGTTAGGGTATGTAGTTAGGATTGCAGTTCCCTTTGTATAGCAAGGGAAGTGGGTGGGTGGGCTTAAGGCAGAAAAATTGGACAATTTCCTCTCAATTCGCGGCTCAAGATATCTGGTTTATGCTGGAAACTACGTAGGTAATAACACCGCTGAATTTGATCATAGCCAAATCTCTTACTTTGCGCATTCATGATTCGAAACAACAAAAGCAATACGATGGAGACAGCTCGTCCCAAGTTTGTTCTTCCTGCCGATGAACGAATTTGGACTCTAAAGCCTGAAGTACTACTGGCAAGAGGAAAATGCGACCTCCAGGGTGAGCTGGGATGGTTTTAGTCTAGTTATTTCAGCACTGAGTATTAAGTTTATTCTCACATGTTGGGAATGACTCGCAACAAGACTTCATAAAGATCAGCCTATTCGGGACATCGAGCAACGATAGCTGTTTACTGTAAAGGAGCTTATGAATGACACCAGGAAAGTCTGTGTACAGCACCATTAGCACACAACCATGATGGCACACATCACACAATAAACGAAGAGTCGCATTTTGAAAACAAGTTTTTGCCGTTTTACGACTGCTAATCCAAACGCCAAAAGCATCTTACATTAACGTGCATACGTATGCTTCAAAAATGTTCTGCATTACTTAATAAGTGCTAACTGCTCCCAGTGGCCCCATAAGTATGCTGTAATGGCCGACAGAAAACATGGGCTTAATACCTGTCCTCTCCAGACATCTCCAATAATGTTCCTGATAATGTTCCTGACGGTGTGTCATCACAATCTTCGAGGAGATGACGCTCGCGACCTCGAGCAATGGCAGCGGCGGCCCACCTGTCGGTGCTCAGCTGAACGCTGGCATTGATAATGAAACTGCATCGGGCAGGGCGGAAGCGTCTCCCGAAAGTCGCATTAGCTCCAGAACCGTAAAGCACAGCTAGATCTCACATTCAGATCTCAAAGTCCCACCAGCTATTTGAACGAAGGTTTGCAGGAGCACCGCAAGCTACCCGGTCTCCAGGCAGGATGACTACCCACGGTTCTTCCAGACGGTCTATCTCCCAATGTCTGCGGCCCTTCTGCTAGCCTTAGCGCCTGCCGAGCCAAGGCATAAGTCGCGGCACCCGTCTTTGATATGAGCTCTCTTTAGAGCTACCTGAAATGCGAGACGACCTGTGCGTGATCTGTCGTTATCAGCCAACGTGATAGCTTCGAAGCTGGCTGGATCACTGTGTTTGTAATAGCAGGCAGTGTTAATACGCAAGATAACGCTCATGCTAGCAGCATTTGACACCCGGGATAGCATTTGCTCGCAGCGTGCGGGGAAGTTGTGAGGTCAGCGCACAGTTCAGATTTTCAGATACAGTCCGGAAATATTATAGCAGGCATACAATGTGACAAAATACTCCGTACTCTATGCATTGTGAGTACAAAAAGCATCTGAAACCCTGCTTTGCGAGCAAATTTTCTGTGATTTGCGGCAGTATTATTGGATGGCGAAGGTGGAAGACAGGCACGCTCAACATCATCGGTGGTACGATTCGCTAATTGAAGAAACACTAATTGTAACTACCCATACTAACTAACGTGAATGCACATCAAATGGCCACATCAAAGCTGTCCTGCAATGTAAACTGAACGCTAGGAATGAGTTTGCGGACGGTTCTGTGAAACAAGCAAAGGCATGTGTATTTACCTTCTGCGCCATACTAATTTCCATCGCATAGCATGCTAACGAACCGTGTAATCCAACTTAGTGTGGGTAATGATGCTCATTGGAGTACTTGCATGTTGCTGCACAATAAGAGACAAAACGACCGGGTGGCCCCCGGTAATGCTCATGACAGGGATTAAATAACCCAATAGCATTGCAAGATAAGGTGACCCCTGATTCTCAGTTGATCCGTGTTTGCTTTGAGTTCGTCTCGGGTTCTTGGCTTGGAAGACACAGGTATATTTCTTTAAGTATACCAAACTCAGTTTTAGGTTGGTTACACCATATTTTGTCGCAGTCAATGTGCGCAATTGGGTAACACAAGGACTATGAGGCGACATGGGCGTGTTTGTAACCTAATATTTGTTCTTGTTGTCCTCCAGTGTGGCGCGTCTATGGGACCTAGCAAATGTTCTCTCATGCATTTGTCCTCTATTCTTCATTATCCATGCAAGTGTTTTCTCCGTGCTTGCATGTGGTACAATTTAGTAAGGCCACTGGAATGCAGAATTCAATCGCTCAAATGCGTTCAAGGACGCCCAAAAATGCCGAGCATCCGTTCAACGCTAAGTGATGCGATGCTCTTCTGATGGATGTAATGATGCGAGCTCTTTATGTCCGAAGGCAAGGAGGAGAAAGCCATTCGAGGTGCCATCAAGGACGCCATCTCAACGTACAGAAAAGAGACCGTGTCCCTCGGAGAGAACAACATGGAGGAGAGAAAGCAACTGGTGCAGCTTCTCGCCAAATCATCAGAAGAGGCCGAAGAGATCCTCATCCGCCGCTGCACCTACGACCCGGCCAAAGTGCACAAGTACCGCGGCAAGGACGCCCAGGTAGACACGCTCTGTTTGTGGACAAGGGCAGGCGGATGTTTGCGAACAATCGCTGGTCAGATCTGCGATCACCTCTACCATTACGACACTTGACATGATGAACAAACAGCTGTTCTCGTGTTTGCTCTGTTGCAAGATTCCCGGCGACCATGCGGTCCATTTGCCTTGAGATCCTATATGGTGACTTGTCCCCATATTTCTAATCGGATTGGCATACTACATATATTTTCATAATATTTTCTGCGTTTGCCATGCACCAGAAACATCAGATATCCCCGGTCTCCGGCTATGCTGGTCCCAAGACTATCTTGGGTGTCGTACATTCCAGCAGACTTGACCGTTTAAAGGAAATGTTCCATATTTGAAGATGGTGAGGCATGCATTTGCTATGCTGAAACAAGCTCACTTTGAACTATTGGTACACTTTTGAGTGAAAAATACTGCTCTAGACAGCACCATTTCTCTGTTAATAAACATGCCCTTGTTGCGTCATTGTTTTATTACGTCATCGCACCTTACACAACATTCAGTGGCAGTCAATTGACGGCCTTTAAATCTGGAAATTGTGCTCACGAACGTCAAATAAGAACGGCTCGACCATTATGTTTTCATCGGCCTTGATCACCGCATGGCAATGAGCTGACAGGGTTTGAATGACCTTATTATGGCGTCATGGATGCGAAGGTGACTTTGGAATGCTCTCCCCGAAATGCTCCTCCCCCCATTTTCGCGGGCGTATGGCTCAGAAACTAGGACAGTTTAGGTCTTACGAAGGCAGGGCTGTACACTGCACCGAATGGTCTTCAAGATGGCTATGTCAGTTCAATATTCCATATAGCTATGTGGAGCACTACCTTTAACACACTCAAGTGCTGGACCTTAAACGGATTTAGGGGTACTGGCCTCTCGGTGGTCTGATGCAGCCTGCGTGCTTCTTTGTGTTGCACATTAGTGTTCTGCCTTGTACCTTAGCCTTGTGCCTCCTGTGTCGTTTTGGGCTCCTTGGCCACGATTGGGTCGTTTGACAACATCGGAAACTTTGACACCAAGAGTGTCCCTGTGTTTCTTGCACCTTGAGACTGTCCCGAGACCCTAGGCCGACTCAATCGTCCGCAGCACCGAGGGGGGAGCTCGAAGCTTTGCAAGGGGCCCTGGAAGCGCTGGCAAGGTACTGCGGCCATGCTGACATTCTGATGGCATAACTTCACAAGCTGATAGCTGCTGCACTTTCTGGAACCACTCGAGGATTTTGAGCCGGTTGATCACTCCGATGGTCGACTGTTCCGATTCATATGCTTTGAACGTCTTGGGCGTAATCCATCAACATTCCAGTCGTACTTTAACACGCGCTCGGGTGGGGGTCAAATTGACTCTCGAAGGTTTTTCCAGCATGTTTTCCGAACGGCGCGGCGTAGCCGCGCCAAATTTTGCATAGCTGTAGATAATTGAATAGCGGATGGTTTTACATAATAAATTTATATGTTTCTTGTAAGATCGCTGACCTATGGCAGGTCAAAGTCAGGCCATGGTTTCACCGAAGGCAATTTCTAGGGAATTGCCCAATCTGCTACAATAACGGAGTGTTTGACGAAGCCATAGATCTCTGAGATGCTTTCTTAGGCAACACAAGTACGGAATGAGCAAATGACGTTGACCTTAGGTGAAGTATAAAGGTCAGAACAAGGTCACAACCAACCTGATTCATTACTCTAGGGCTTGCTGCATGGGATAGTTCTGATGCTCTTTCCAATTTATTGACAGCAGGAACCGCATTATAATCTTCCACTGACTTCTTAGAGGTCAGAAATGGTCATTGACCTAAGATGACCCGGGTCGACATTTTGTTTTATGAACATACTGTCTAGCGTAATCTTTGGCGCTTATTCAAATTCAAAACTCAGAGCGGTCTTGTATGATTTTGGTCACCATGACCTTCAAAAGGTCAAAAGCGTCACCGACCTCAAATGGGCTTTTAACCTTTTGCTTAGAAACAGTTTCCTAGGTTCTGGGGTCACTTTGGTGACCAACCTAGAATTTGACCTTATTTGACCTTGCTTGATCTGAAGATCATGACCTAGGAAGCTCAAACTTTGACTTAAGTGAGTTCGTGTACAGGTTAACACGCCCTATAAATTTGGTGTCTCTAGCTTTCTTAGTTCCCGAGATCTCAGTGGGTCAAATTGACCCCCACCCGAGCGAAGGGTATCTAGCCGGCCGCCCGGGCGCGTGTTAAATTACAAAATTCTTTGTGTCACCTTCACCCGGCCCCTTCGGTGGCGCTGCGCGCGGTGCAGCTGCTTGTAACAGCTTCGCCATGGCTTTATCAACGTTCTCTGAAGGGGCTGTAGCATTAACCGCGGTTGTTTTTATTATCTGTTTAAGGATATCTCTGAAAACATCGACGAAGAAATTGCGTTCCTTAAGAACGTCCTGAACGAGCTGTCCAACAAGCGCAAGCAGCGGACGCAAACACTGCTGGACCAACAGGTAATCGATCCCTCGCCAATGTACTATTGGGCGGCGGCCTACGTCGATCCTCCTCGCCTTCCCGCTTCCCCTGAACCGCCTGCCGGCTTAGGCGGCAGCCCTACGTTGATCCTCCCCGCCCCTCCCGCTTCCCCTGAACAGCCTGCCGGCTTGAGCGGCAGCCTACGTTGATCCTCCCCGTCCCTCCCGCTTCCCCTGAACCGCCTGCCGGCTTGAGCGGCAGCCTACGTTGATCCTCCCCGCCCTTCCTGCTTACCCTGAACCGCCTGCCGGCTGCGCGCCTGTCCTTTGGCTGCCCCCCCCCCCCCCCGTACCCGAGCTTTGACCCCGGCCGACCACGCCTGACCCCGAGATCTGGCCTCCGGCCGACCGCGCCCGACCTTGACCGCGTGTCGCGACGCCGTGAGGCGGCCGCCCCCGCGCGGACCCGATCGGCCGACTAATCGCACGCCACCGCCTGGCCAATCGCGAAGCATCGACCTGCGTCGCCGGCGACGGCACGCCATCGGGCCCGGCCGGCCGCCGTCGAGCGCGGCGGCCGGCCGTCGGCGAGCGGCGCCAATATTTGACGAGCGGCGCGGCTGACCGATCGGAAGTCAACGCGACGCCCCCGGCTGTAACCCCACACCGGGGGGCGGGGGAGGCTGGCTGGGATGGTGCGATGGCGCGATGGTGCGGCCCTGTCGTGCGACGACAGTGTAGTGGGGGGAGTGTGCGGGGGGGGCGTGCCCCAAGCCCCCCGCCTGCGCCTCTGCCAGAAATTAGGAGACACTTCATTACCCCCAGATCTCTCTCGTAGTTTTTGTAGCTACACATCTACTTTTCTACACATTTATTTCTAATCAATGTGATTTCTCTAGTTTAATCAGTTTTCGTAGTGGGGAATGTTACGGTCATAAACAGAGCTGATTAGTAACTGAGGTCTGCCAACAAGCTGGTTCAACAAGCGACAGGCCATTTGTGTGTAATGTCCTACAGACATTGGAGCGTTCCGAGGCGGTACAAGATACACGGATGTGTTTCAACAATAGCAGTACCAATATATAAACAGAAGGAGTGTTGGCTAATGTTTACACCAGTAGGTCGCCCAAGGTGGAGGACGCGCACGTGGTCTCGAGTTGCGGGCGACCGAACACTGCAGTCCTGACCTGGTCCTGGTCCGCTGACCTGGCTGACCTGGTCCTGACCTGGCTGACCTGGTCCGGCGGCCGGGCGCCAGCGTTTTTTGGCGTCCATGCAGGTGAACCACGAGATGAGGGATGACCAGTTCCCCGATGAGGAGCAGCGCTGTCGTACTCTGGAGTGCCAACTGGAAAAGATCAACCAGAAGATGGCCGTTACGACTAACGTCACGGACAAGTACCACGATTTCGTTGACAAGCTCAATCGGGTACGTATGACCCACATAGGGGAAGCTATTTTGCAATAAGTGATTGCGAGTGTCATATCAAGGACTCAGACCTGTTGCAACCATCGTATTCTGTGAGCACGATGCGTACTGTTGTACCGACATAAGTCACGAGAGTAGAATGTCCGATGCCTCATTTTACGTGTTCTCTTTTCTCCCCTACCAGACTGTATCGTGCATGTGCAAGATAATGCTTTAAGTAGTAGAGCAAATATTGCATTAACCACGAAGAAGCATGCAAATATGTGACATTGAAACTGTTGCCTGTGTCTTTTTACCTAATTACGCCCCGTCAAACTCCATATGCGTCTCTGAAGGATTATCGGTGTAATGCAAATTTTGTCAGTAGTCGGAACAGAGAAAAGCCCTAACTACATTGCTCGACACAAACAACATGTGAATTGCCTTGCAATAGCCTTGGCTGCAGTATCTCAACCAAGCTAAATTTGGTCGGCTAGCTCAGATTTTCCACAATCGGAGGATCCCGAGCCCAAATATTTGCACGCGCTTGAAGGCCGCGCCTTTGGCCCACGCGATTTACGGCCGCAGAAGCACGTAGTCTACAATGGGCCATGCTGCCACCCGGTATTGGACCAGCGGCGTCCTTCGTGTGACCTGTGCTCTTAATTACGTCAATTGTGCAGGGGTGCGAATGGCGGCACACGGCGTGCGTCACGCGCTACCGATCGATCTAAAACCTTATTTATACATCATAGCATTTATCTTATTTGACTGGAACACAACTCAGAAGCTTACGGAACATGCAATCCTGTTCGCGTTCTGCAATAAATAAACTGAAGGAAGCGGACGTTAAATGACTGCACGAAACAAACCACCGGAGTTATAATTTTACGACGGTCCAGTGGTTCTTCCCCAACAGTTAGAGCTCAGAGGCTTTGCCATGTTTTTTCTAGGGTCTGCAGATATATTGAGGACCACGTGAACGCGGATTGTAGATCGAAGTTGAGTCAAAACTTTGCATTAACTGGGCGAACCCCTGCTCCTCTGGGAATAACCAACCTCCAGTCAGGTTCAATTCCTCAGAAAATTATGTGAGATAGTTTTGATCATGCGCGCTCACAAAATCCTAGGAATAAAATTATGAACCCCAAAATCCCGCGTCGAGTTTCCCTGAGCCGCGAGGTGTCAATCGCGCAGTTAATACTTGGCTGGCCAACGGGCGGGCGAAAGTAGTGATATCATTTGAAAGTTTTCGGTATCAATTCGCACGTTTAGGATGCGAGCCTGCCGTATATTTTGCCTGTACAATTTTATCTATTACGAACAGATAAGCTTTTACAGCACCGCGGTGTGGTACCAGGCATCTGGTGATGGAACTGGAAGATTTAAGATAGATTCGCCATTCTTCGTGTTCCCCTAATTGTTCATGTATTCAGCGGCCAGCCTCAAAATCATGAAGTAAAATACACGTCTTTGGCTAATCTGTGGATGGTACGACTAGATTTTGAGCGCCTTTCGGAAGCAATCTTTAAATACGGCTGCTTCCGCCCGCGCGCCACCCGTCGCCTGGTGTTATTTGCAGCGGTCAACGCCTTCCGATTTTATGGAAACCGTAACCTCCGGCATGGTGCTCCCAAGATTGCGAGAGCCAGGCGGAAACTTTTTAGGCAATTTGTTTCACTAGTCTTTTCTCCAGAAGGATGAACGTTCTCAGGCAAACATGGGTTGAAGTTTTTTCATTTTTTAGCGCATTTCAATCCACTCTACTGAGCACTTATGAGACCCCTTACCTTTTCAAGGAAAGCACCCCGTGGATAGAACACTAAGGAGCATATTATCGTCCCCGGCCAAGGGCTGAGCGGCCATTCCGTCCGAGAGCGGTGCCTACCGGCTGCCGTTCCCGTGACGCAGGGGCAGGGGCGGACACATAGGCATGTATTGGTCCCCTGTCTGATGCGGGGGGGGGGGGCCTCTGATCCGGATTTTGTCCCCGTTTCGACGCAGGGGTCCACACTGAAGCTGCAAGATCCATCATCGCAGCAGGTTATCCAATGATCGTCACAGATAATGCTGTTCGGTTTAACGGGCACTTCAGCACTGTTGGCCCTGCCAGACCCTGCCTGATACGGATCCCTTTCGCTGTCTCGTTGTGGAATCGCGGCATAATACTTTCATATCTACTTTCATTGTCAGAGGGCACCGACCAGCGCAAGTGGCTCCCTGGCATTTTGGATCCCGTTCTTCTACCTTTTCAGCAAATTTTCCCCTCGCCAACTCCGGCCGCTTACCGATGCATGGCCCACTGTTCGGCATTGTGGGCCTTGGCCTACACAGAGGCCTCATTGTTGCAGGGCTCTGAACTATGCAAATAGCGGGCCCGGCCTCGTCTCTGCTTGGGAAATGGGCCCCCAGTGCCCGGGCCGACACATCCAAATGTTGCAGGGTGGTGTTCTATTGCCGAAATAGAGACGTTCATCGTCCCAGAGGATCTCAGTTGGTACAAGGAGCTCTCTGACGGAACTTTTAGATCACGACCCTCTGGGCGGCCGTGTCCTTCATGTCTTAATGTGACCTACAACCCGTCCTTAGTGTATTTTAGCCTTCCGATAGAGCCCTTTATTGTCGGTCTCGAGCCTCGGGGCTCTCAAACGCTGTCCCTAGCCGACTTGGAGCCCCGTGCCAACACAGGACACCCTTGTTAGACTATGTGGACCCTTAGCCGACACAGGGCCCTTATTGACTCAGGGGCCTCGGCTAATGTAAATCGCGCGCCCCAGCCCTGTCCCCGCTTGGGAAATGGACCCTCAGGCCCAGACAGACACAGAGCCGACTGTTTGGCACTGGTGTTGCTTGACTAAAATAGAAACCCTCATCAAGTCAAAGGTGCCAATCGTCGTGAAGAGCCCTCTGTCTGCATTTGTCTGCATAGTCTTTCTGCGGACCGGGCCCTAATACGACCTCCAACCAGCTGTTTGGGCTCTTCGGCTCCTCAAAGCGGCACCTAAGGGGGGGGGGGGCCACGTGTCCCCTGTGCCCCTGCCTGCGCCATTGACTCCAGTGCGGCCTTCGGCGCTAGAGGGCCATAGTAGGTCTTAGGTGGTTTATTGATCGCGTCCTTCATCGCCTGGCTACAATTGTTTTATCACTGACATGTTGACCGGCGCATAGCACGCCACTGTTTCAACAGTCGGTATGAAAGCAGTGTGTTTTTTTCCGCTCTACAATGGCATGCGGCAATTTCTGCGATTGCAAATGATGTGCCTCAATCTACGTCATTCCATGTAATGTTGGCAAACACGTAGTTAAATAGGCATTAAATTATTGAAATGCATGCGTTTTAAAATGCGCTTCCTTTTCCCTTTCGATAAACACGCAAAAGGGCGGTGTACACATTATAGTTTTGGAGTGAAGTTAGTGCAGGGGCAAATATTTTGAATAGTCATTAACAGCGCAAGTGGGATGTCCTTCATTCGTAAACGCCACTCGCGGAGCCGTGTCAACACTTCACGTGGAAGTCGACTTGCCCTACTGCCCCCCCCCCCCCTTCCGCCCACTGCTTCTGATCCCTCGGATGCATTGTAAAGCCACTGCAAAACCACTTAGATTGGAGTGATGAAATGTTGCGAAGGCTTTCTTGCTTACAGATCTTGTCAAAATTCGGTCACGCTACATCACTGGGAGGCGACCCCAGGGCTCTTTTATTAAAGACATGTGGGAGCTAATGACGGCCTTTTCAGGCACACGCATTGTCAAATGCCCTGTGGCCCCTGAATGATGAGATTTCATTAAATCAAAACTTGATGCTGCGGTTGACACCACGCGTAGCCATCTACCCATATCTGAATACAAATTTTCGAATCGTCAGGGGCGGATATAGGGACAGGCCAGGAACGTTACTCAGTGATGAAGTAGGGTATGTTTGGTGCTGAGTTCGGTGTATGTTAGCCCATATCGTAACTGTGTGCATGCTCCAATCTACTGTGCTGCTGAGATCAGTGTATGTTTGCCCATATCATAACCTTTTTTGCCTGCCCCGACATGTCACGCTGCTCAGATCGGTATATGTTGGCCCATATCATAGTTGTTTGCATGCTCCGATCTATTACGCTGCTGAGATTGGTGTGTTTTGGCCCACATCATAACTGTTTGCATGCTCCGACCTATTACGCTGCTGAGATTGGTGTGTTTTGGCCCACATCATAACTGTTTGCATGCTCCGATTCACAACGCGGCTCGGATCGGCGTATGTCGGCGCACACCGTGACTGCCTGCTCCGATCTGCCAAGCAATGGACACAAAATGTGCGAATGTAAACACGAGATAAATACTGAAGGTAGCAGAGGTTGACCACAGGAAAATTTCAAGAAGATGACTCGAAATTCAGCCTGACCAATTTGGAAAAGCTTGCTTATTGATAGCTAGCTGTCCATGGTATTAAGAAGCAGTGTGTACACTTCAGTGGTTCTTATTGAAGCAAAGCTCAGCTCTCCCCAAGGGTAAAGCAGAGTCAGGAAATATGGGGAAACCGTGGGATTTGTGAGCTGTAGGTATCCGAGCACAGTACCGAAAGTGTTTTCCAAGAAAGTTGAACATCTTGCACCCGGAATTGGTCTGGGATACTGCTCGGGGTGGGTGTAAATTTGTCACGTGGGGTAAATGGTCAAAGACTTCTGTGCATCCTAAATAGTCTATCGAGTTAAAATGTTGCATACCCCTCTCCCCATTCTCAACATCCCACATCCACGGATGATTAAGAAATATCTCGCAAGCTTGTCTTTCTGCCCATTTTGGTCTCCAATCCAAACACGACAAAAAGTCACAGGATCTGGATATTTGTTCACGACGGCAAGAACCATTTAGCGGTCCCAGGATGCTTATGGCGCAAAAACACCTCATGTCCATGCAACAGTTTTCCCCCCAACACCACCATCCAACACGTCACGTGCATCATTAAATCATGTGATGGAAATTTGATCACTAGCTTGTTATGTTAAAATCGTACCCTTCAAACCTTCAGTGCTAAAGATTTCCACATGGGAAGATCTTGAAGCAAGCATGAAATATAATGAAAGAAGATCACTTGTTACCAAAGGTATATTTTAAGTGTAAAACTGCTCCGAACAACACAATTTCTCTGTTTAGTAAATATGTTGTTCAAGACATCATGGTTTCTTAGCGTCATCGTGATCTGCACAAAATTTATTGAGTTCATTTGCGGCCGTTTTACCTGGGAATCGTGTTCCCAAACGTCAGATATGATGAAATAGTCTGCACATTTTTGCAGGCTTGTAGCTCAGAAATTAGAGAGGTATAAGTCTTAGGAAGGTTTAGAAGGCTTTAAACTGCGCGGAATGATCTTCAAGGTGGCTATTTCATTTCAAATTCCCATGCAAATGTGGAGCACTCCCTTTAAACGTCGCCAGTTCACACCGAAGAACGTTTGCAGCACAACTGCTCATCGGCGCACTTGGCCTACTGGTCCATAGGGTTTACGCGTCAAAGGCCTGCTCGATGGACCTGGCACCAAGAGAAAGAATGTTTCATTATCTTGCGCCAATCTATCGACCGTTTTGTTATTAGAAAAGCCAGACTTTCCAGGCGTACCGGGTCAAAGTTTGCATGTACAGTTCTCTGTGAATTTTCAGAGTTTGGAGTTGGTCTCGGTAGCTCAATGGGTGAAGTTTTGGATTTATGCATGAAATGCTCTTCGTTCGGGGCCGGGGCGTTCCAGAGCTTTTCCACAAGCTCACTATAGAAGATGCTGGTTTGTTTGCTGGCAGCTAATATATACTATCAGTAATACTGTGCAGAATTTGCTGATAGTCGCTTGCAAACATTCTAGGCATGACAGTATAGAAACAAATAAGTATAAGTAATATACAAATATATATTATATATATATATATACATATATAAAAGGCTCTCTAAAAAAATATTCGCTGCGGCAGCACCTGCGATAGACTACCTTCAGTTACGGGCCAAGTGTTAAGTCTAAGCTGAAGTTCTACCTTATATTGCACATGCAGTGTTTTCCTATTACTATAGTGCGAGGAGTACGCTGGACTTCGTTGAAAGCGGCGTACATAACTCTGAAAACTAACATTGCAGCACATTCCAGTGGTCTGTTAGCGGTGAGAAATCTTGGACAAAATACCTTAAGGCCACAGGTGCTGTCGCACTGTTAGTCATCTACTATGAGCAGGTGACTTAAACAGCCCATCAGCCATTTACAGCATTCAATGTTTGAGGAAAATATTCGTGCACATCAGCAACTCTAAGAGACAACGTAGCTCCAGCGAACAGGTTATACGGAATATAACTTTTAGATTAAATGTCATGCACCTGCGACTGTTTGCTGTTGGCCAACGGAAATATTACCTTTTTTAGAAGATTACCTTTTTACCATTTCAGTATTTTCCCTTAAGCGTGTTATCATTTAAGTTTATCTCAAACCGAGGTACTCGATTCCTGGCGGCGGTTTAGTCTTAAAATAGGTTGTGCTGGAAAATTAACTGCATTCTGGCTCTAGACATGGCAGGAATGAGCGTTGCGAGCCACATGAAACATAATTGCGCCTTGGCTTTGCTCGGCATGGCAATAAAGTAATCCATGTTGGACGTCTTACTCCGCTGGGTCTTTCTTTTTCAGTTTTGACTGTTCCCAGTGAAAAGCTTGGTTTTTAATTGCCTTAATTTCAAACCTTATAATCTTACCGGAACATTTCGTAGTTTCATGCTGTAGTCTCCTATCCATAAAACATGAAATACATTTTTTCGTAGCTGGCCTGAATTCGCAGGTGCTGAGCCGTGCTCATGCAAGGTTCCATGCCACTTCGCATCGTCCTATTACCAGGACCTAAAACAAAGAGACCAAACTTCGGAAATAACCGCAATTTTTGACCTGTAGATATTCGTATGAGCAGCTTAACACTTCGGGGTGGGGCCGCGGACAGCTCCCGTTCCCACCCCCCACCCCCGGCCCAAACAGTTAAGTAGCCACTTTTTATTTTTCAGGAAAAGGTGGTTTACGAAGCCAGGCTGAACAAGCTTCAGAAATGCATCGAACAAGATATGCGCGACCTCGAAACATGTCACGACATCATGATGAAGGGCCACATCCTGGGACATGACGCAGCTGTCAAGCTTGACGACCGGGAAACAGTTAAGCGCCAATCGCCGCGCAGCAAAGCGTCCTCTGACCGTTGTCCCTTATTGTCCTTATTGTCCCTCGTCCCTTGAAATTCGGAACGGAGCTCCAGAAATTCTGTCGAGCAGGTCCTACCGCCTGAGTACTTTGCATCGCACCTGCAGTATCTGGAAGGCATCTGGTGGAGAGTTTCATGAAACAAAACCACAACTCCCGGCATCTCTGGTCGGTCCCTGTAAGCATACCAGCCAGAGACAGGTCTAGATCGATTGGTTTTGGTGGGTCTGTGAGGGCAGTTATGAGTCCGTAGTGCGCGGCACTTCAGTCAAGGTGCAAAATGTTTGCCTTGCAGTGCTGACTACCGCAAACTTTTTCACGGATGTATGTTCTTTATGGTAAGGAAAGTCAAACTAGCTTGGTTGCTATCTGTACGACATTCAACATTTCTTAGAATTCGACATGGAGGCCGCCGCCATCTTAAATGGTCACCAATCTTCTTATTTTGAGCTGGATGACATAGATGGTGGTGCGATATCCCCTTATGAGGGCTATCATAGGTGGTGACTCCATCTCTGGACTTCTTTTTTGGCTATCAGGTATGATTCAACGGTTAGTCAAAGGTCAAATATCAAGCTCAGAGGTCAATCGAGGACCTTCGGAGGAATTGAAGACCTTTGACGTACAGTGTCACGACATCTTAAGTGCCCATGACTATAGCACCTCCAGCCAGCACCCATCTCATTCCTCAAATGCTTTTCGTGGTCAGCATGACTATGTACATCTTGCCCCCCCCCCCCCTTTGTTTCCTACGATGTTCACCTGTATGCTGGTGCAGTGTCTATAGCATGCGATTTCTCGATTTCTCCCTTAGACTTGGAGTATTTTGTGCGCCAAAGCCCCGCACTGTGGCCGTTGCAGCTGCAGCGTGCAATGCAGCATGCCTTGCGTTCATTGATGCAGCTACAGGTCACCACACTGAGGGGCGCTTCGGCAGTAACTGCTGCTTTTGAGACAGCAAATATGATGGTGGAGATTTCGATGTTCCAACCGAAGTTGGCACTACCTCAAGCTTCCCTTCTCCGGGGGCGGGGGCTCACGGGAAGCCCCTTCGGGGGCCAGGAGTGTAGTGGGCCAGTCGAGTTTCCAAGCTTCCTCCAGTCGAGTCAGTTGAGTTTCCAGGCGGCATCTGGGACGGCCTTCTGCGGTTCCAGATTCCGCCCAGACGACGTGGTGCAGTAGCTGACCGAGGTCGTGGTGCAGTAGCTGACCGAGGTCGTGGTGCAGTAGCTGACCGAGGTCAATCAACATCTAACCCGCTGGCACAGCGATCTTGCTGTCCAAGTGTCACCAGGCGTGCGTGCCCGTCAGTGGCTCCTCCCTGGCACGCTGGAAAAGTTGTTTAATCTGTCTCACATGTCAGTTTGTCTAGCGGGCATAATTGTGGTGACCTGGTACAAAGAAGTACGGCGACATTACCTCGAGACAGTGCTCCTAAAGAAGGACTTTGTTTCGCTCTCCGCGCGGGAGCATGAGCATCAGCAGTGTAGACTTGAAGAGGCATTCCACTCACATGCTTCTGGTCAGATGCTCTTTGGCTGTCTCCAGATAGCCCCTCAGCTCCTGGCGCGCACGCTCCTGATGCACGGGCATATTCACACGGACATGATGCACACTTTAATGAGCGTACCGAACTGTGTAGGGATAATGGTGAGGGGATCTATCGTGAGCGTAACCATGAGCTCAGCGCTTGGTGGCGGCATTGCCAGCAGGACAAATGGCAGGACCTGGAACAACCCCCTAAGGGCATAGCGCCTCATTATCGCCGTGCTGCTGTATGTATTCTGCTTAATGGCGACAGGTCACACCACGAGCTGAGCGCCTAGCTGGAGTCGGGCCGAAAGCATTCGATCGGGGGGATGTGGGCAGGCGGCTTGGTGGAGGAGTGGTACGCGGGAACATTACAGAAGCGATTGTAACGAGGGGCATGACACTGAGCGTCAGCAGTATGCAGATCAATCACCTCGCTGATCATAGCCGCTGTCACTCAAGCCCCAGAAGTCCTCTAAATGTTGCTTGAACGTGACTATACTATGCTCATTCATGGTTTTACACTGTTTGAGCTGTGCCCAGCTGCGTGATTCTGGCTATATTTTGGCTGAGACTATTTCCTAGACCGCAGACGGTTTCGATTCAAATCGAACTCACCATGAGAGGACGCAGGTCATGTCCTTCCGATTTAAATCCAGGGCACCTCTGCGCCTTCCGCGCAGTCGCGAGACTGCTAACTGGCTGCGCTCCACTAGTGAAGGCAAGCGAAGGTTTAATCCCCCCCCCCCCCCCCCGGCCTGTGCCCTTCTGGACGAGCAACTGATCAATGGCCTTCAAGGGCATTCGCAGGCGCTATGAAATACATGGCTTCTGGGCGGGGCAGGTATATTGTGATAGCCTGTTCTGCTTCGTTTCCATTTGATTTCCATTTATTTTGACCTTTTGCCACCTCACATTTTTGCCTTTGATCTTTATTCAGTGAACTTCTTGCTTTTGTGGCATTTATTCATATATTTACCACTTTCAACTTGATGCCTATTTATCTTTTTGCCTTTGACTTTTATTCTTTCGACTTTTTGCGTTTTACTTTTATCCCGTTTGACTTTTTGCCATTTGACTTCCCGCCATCTTGCCATCTGGCTTTTAGTCCTTTGCATTTTTTGTTTGTTGACTTCTTGCAATGGAATTGTATCCGGTTGAACTCGTGCCGTTTGAGTTCTTGCCATTTTACCTCTTGCCATTTGCCTTTTGGTTGTATGACTTTCATGTTTTGACTTTTTGCCCTGGAATCATACCACAAGTCTTAAATACTATATATGTCATGACCCCGCACGTGCCACATCGAGACTTGTGACAAGCAGCGATCAGCAAGGATATGCGAGGCTTTCAGGAGCTTGTCTGCGGTGCCTACCTTACTAGCGTGCACTGGTGGAGTTCGTGGTCGTTACTAGTATGTTGGTACTGGTAAGTAGGTGGCGTGGCTTGTATGGCATTAAGCACAAAGTGCTAGCATATCAAGTCTTTAGTACTGTTTGCACTAACTGCTGTAATGATGTGGCTCTGCCTTTGCTTAAGTCCCCTGAACTAGCCATCTTTAATGTTATTTAGTCCCGGTCAAGTTTCTTATCCAATCATTTTCATGCTGTCATCGTAAAAATACTCGGCATCAAAACAAGGCAAGGCCATCCGCCCAATCTTTTTATCATGCCTGTTCCACAGACATATGTTGCCGAGAAAAAGGAGCGCGAGAATGACATCAAAAGCATCCGGAGAGAGGTGCAGAGGAAAGAAGAGCTGCCAGTCCGGAAAAAGGTGCGATCTTATGTTTGTTTATGCAACCGTGCCTTGCACTCAGAACACGACCCCTTCACAGAGAGCAACTTATTTCAGCTCCTTTTCGACTCGCTCTTCCAGCAATGAATTGCTGAAACCGGGACACAGGCCTATAACTTGTGTGGTCGTTGCTTGGCAGTGTATCCAATAACATAATCGAGACGGACATATCCCCAGCTGCTGAAGCGTTACAGAGTGGCAGCTGGCCATTTTCATAATGGCTTGGAGCACGCCTGTATATTATCTTAACATGGCCGGCTGATCATCCGCAGGCAACCCTGGCCGAGGTGGACCTGGACAAGGTCCTGAAGGAGCACCAGAATATGTTCTCACAGATGCAGGAGCGCCGGAAGACAATGGCGGAGGTGGACAACTGGGAGCTGGACTACGAGCAGCTACAGGATGTCACCCGTGCCAAGGACGCGGCCGGCGTCACCAAGCAGTCAGTGACGCGCGCCGCCAAGCTCGAGACGGGCGGTAGTCGCGTGTGAGGTGGAAGGGGGGAGGTGTGGAGTAAAGACGTGAACTGCAGTAGGCGTAGGCGAAAAGGGAGTTAGATGGATTGGTACAACAAAGGCAGACAGACAGCTAAGTGAGTGAAGTAGAGACGAGAAACTCCTGTAAAAAATAATGAGGGGAGAAAATGGCCATATATCTTAAACAATAAGGTAAATGAAAGAAAACGTGAGGAAAAATAGAACATCGAGTTAGGGACAGCGCGTAAACACAAATGAGAAGCAAAACATTAAACGTGGACAAATGCTTATGAGGGCTGGGTCATTAGCAATGGTAACAGTAACAGAAACAGTATATGAAAAGTAGATGAGAAACAGCGAGTGTACGTTTATGAGAAGAAGAGGGAGCCGGTAAAGACAAAAATGAAGAAAGGGATAGAGAAAGAGAGAGAGAGAGAGAGAGAGAGAGAGAGAGAGAGAGAGAGAGAGAGAGAGAGAGAGAGAGAGAGAGAGAGAGAGAGAGAGAGAGAGAGAGAGAGAGAGAGAGAGAGAGAGAGAGAGAGAGAGAGAGAGAGAGAGAGAGAGAGAGAGAGAGAGACCACTGTTTAGTGCTCGCTCCCACCGAGCGTCTGCGCCGCCGGCAGGTTTGAGCGACAGGCGGCCCGGCATACGTACCTGCAAAGCGAGCGGGAACGGGTGGAGACGCGGAGGCGGCAACAGCTGCAGCTGCTCTCTGACAAGGAGACAGTGCTCTCATCCGTACGCCACACCGGTGCCGAGGCCATGGTGGAGTGAGTTCAGACCAGCGCTGTGACGCGGGCTGCAGTCGGCAGATGGCGTCCACGCTCCGTAGAGGCCGGTTCTGAGAATGTGGACGATTCGCGTAAAACTTGGAGGTGTTTTGAAATAGTGTGCGACATGTTTCACATGTGCTCCTGTTTTTTTTTTTATTTGGCTGAATGTGATCCCGTGGCTAAAGATTTTGCGTCATTTAAGTAGTGTTTCGTACTAGAAATCACCACGATGGCATTGTCAAACGACAAATATTTCTACATCATGTCTCCACGCATTTGTAACGTAGTGGAGCACCATGCCATCTGACTTTGACTCACCATCCTGCCATCCTGAAAACAGCTGCGTGTGATGTTTCGAAACGGTGACAGCTGATCAATGGTGAGATGGAGAGGAAAGAAAACACAATTTCGACTGTCTTATTTCCATTGGATTTTACAGGTGTATTGCTGATTTCCGTCCCATGACTTCATAACATCCCATGTTGGTTCTCACTTGGGATGAAGGCTTAGATTTTCTCGGAATAGCCGTCATACAGCCTTCTAATTTTGTTTTCGATGACGCTGACTCGTCTGCCTCGATTGTATAGCACATTGGCCGAACTTATATATTTGAGGGGCTTGGTCTGGTTAATTGAGAGCCAAGAATTAGCTCGAAAGTTTAAGCTGCGGGGTAAAGTGATAACGCTCTAATGTAAATGATACTTCCATGTTCCAGGCGAAATATATCAAGAGATCTGAGAAATCCTGACCAGTGGCTTCTTTATGACGTCACTTGTTTATGTTATCCCTGGTTATCAGCGTCATTCCTAATAAAAAATACTTTGGGGGCAATAGGTAGTAAATTGCTTGCTTGCTGAATGTTGTAAATACGTTTGCTTGTTTATAATAGCCACATTTTTCCAGTAGATGTCATCGTCTGAATAATTCGTATTCTCAGATGATACGAATTCTAGCGTTTAGCAGAGACGTGATACGAGATGGTCAAGTTGATATCACGCAGCCGCTAACGAACCCAGCACGATTGTACCGGTTGTGCATTGTTACAGGAACTATCTCGCCTTGTCAACTGAACGTTTCTGCTAAACTACTACGTTGTACTACCACACACTGATTTTTTGCAGCTTTCTTATCAGATCACTTGCTTGCTGAATGATCCTGATATACGGGGTGAAAGTGCCTTTCCTGCCACCGACAAAATTTGGAACTTTCTAAATTGCTGTCTGGAGCCAAAACTTTCAGAAACTGTTGCAAGATAACTCTGCATGCGGTGCACCATAAAAAGGCGAATGAGATGCAATGCGGCATGATCATGAAACACTTTTGTTTTGGGACTTCATTTGCACTGAAATATCATTCCCTGTCCATTAAAAACTGAGTGCTGGTTGAGGCTAAATTAATAAAATCATCAGATAAAGGCATAATAAACATAACCAACCTAGAGGCATGTAGCTTCCGGGTAAGTGGGGGGGGGGGGGGGGAGCGGGGTATTGGGCCTCCTAACCAGGGCTGTAGTTTTCTATTTTTTAGTTATCATTTAACCACTGTTTTCATTACTCATAATGTTCGGGGGTTCAGCCCCTTGAAGCGAAAGAAACTACAACCCCGCTCCCAACTCTGAAAAAGTTTGCGTCAAACCTCGTGACAAAATTGTTTTAAGTGCATTCCGAAGGCCGGCTCATTCGTTTCTTCTTCCCGCCCCTCTCTTGCTGGTTTGTATGTTTCAGAACGAAATCCATGCATCCCTATATTTACCGATAACATGGTTCTGCAAGGACCTGAAAACACCCTCACTTTTGATGTTGTGAGGTCATCATGCAATCAGGTGGAAGCGTTGGCGACGTTCACTGTCTTCGCATAATCGTTACCGGTGCAAAACTCGCACCAGCTAGCATAATCCCAATTATCTAGATCAAAACCCGTGCAATATTGGTATCAACAGATGCAAACGACATTTTTTAACACATATAGAACCTTTATTTAGCTTTATGTGCAATATGATAACAATTAAAATCGTTTTGCACCACGCCTATCCACCGATTAGTACGCCAAATCGGAGGTGCAGTGGACGGTGTAAGAGATCTACACCAGCGATGTTTGGCCTCTTACCCCAAAGCCGCTGTTCATCTCAGCAGCAGGAAATCCCGGATAAGCCCCCGGCACGTGTCACTCCAACGTCCTCCGTTTACCTCTGAAGATAAAGCTTAAGTATCCATAAGTAACGATACTCCTAGATCGGTGTTTTAACGCTTTTACTAGGGACACCCTTTATGGTGGATTTTTAGAAAATTTGCAAAGTACCTTAAAAAAACTGACGATTAGCTACGTTCCTCCAGCCAGTCAGCTTCCCACGGCATGAACACAACCAGTAATAGCTCATAGCTTTGCACTGGACCTAATTCATTACCCCGGGGGAGAATTCGGGTCCATCTGTTTTAAATGGCACGGCGCCTTGAAACGGTGCGCAGCAAACTGATCATGTTCGTCGCAGAATTTTGTGGCCGGCCGCGATTCTTACGACTAGCAGTAAGCCTAGTTATTTGGTATTTTCTACTGTTTAGTGTGTCACGTGAATCTTGGCCGACAAATCTGAGAAGGGCATTGATCCTGGGGGGGGGGGGGGGGGGGGGGGGCATTGGAAAAGCACTGTGTCACCGCTGATCCGCGACGTCAACACTGATATGGTATAGTTTGTAGTATGTTTCTTCCCCGACAAAAAATCATCCTGATTAAAACTTCTGTGCTTGGCAAATCTCGTGGTTCAACTTGCTCATGCTGCGAAACGCACACGTCTCAACATGTGCGTTATACATGCTGACACTGTAAGCGTTAGCGAGTACAGACGACTATTACGCTTTCAGTTTGTCTAGCGGCGATGGTCTATTGTAATATGGTCTAGTCTGTTGTAATTTGTTTTCTTGTCCGGTCTAAGTTTCCGATCACATCCGGTGAATGAGAAGCTTTTTTCACCCCTGCTGATATATCTCAGCAACTTTTCAGGTGCTGAAAGATATCAGAACCAGTGGCATGAAAGTAAACGCGTTTTGCATTAGTTCTTTCCTAGTCGCCCGATCCACACTAAGCCGTCTTTTGTTCCTTAATGCGATTTGTCCCTACACTCAACTTGGAGGTAGTGGTCTTGGACATGTGGGTGATAAGCTTGAATAGCTTCAAAAAATATCAAGCGTCTCATCCATCCAATTTCCTCCGAAACAATCTTGCTGAGAGTCTGGTACTGCCTCGTGTGAGAGAATTCTATAAATCACGTAAGTCGTCTCCGAATGGTAAAAATTGTGCAAATCGTCTGTATTCCAACACATGCCCCAAGAACCTTAAGCGGTACACATCAGCAGTGAAAACTCCTGTCCACAAGAATCTGCAAGATGAGAGCTAGGACTACCTCAAGTCGAGGGGCCGAAATACCACTGTCGGCATCAAACAATTCTTTCGTTTTCTCCCAATTACCTTTGAAGTTTTAGCTTAATTGCACTTAACCTCGGACGCTAAACGCTACAAAGCATGTTGCATGTTTTCAAACAAATATTCAGGTAGAATCAGACAGCGTTTTTTCATGTACCCTTAAGTCAATCTCACGGTGCGGCTTAGATAGTGGGCTATGGTGTCGCGTGGTGATGACGTCATGACAAGGCTCTCACCCATTGGTCCTTTACCAACCACCGGCGTGTTGAGACGGCTGACCTGGTTCAAAGTCAGCGCCGACCTCGACGTTGACCGGAGCTCACGCCGGGCCCAGCGGCAGCTTACGGTCCTTAGTTACTTGAGTTTCCTTGCGATCCACGGAAAAAGCCTTGTTTGCTCTGCGATATTACCAGAACATTTTTCAAGCATCGCGGCAAACTCGACGTGTTTAGCATACCAAATTGAATGCGATCGAGCAACCGAAACTTTGTAGATCCCTATTCCCGGGGCAATAACAGCGGCTGGATAAGGGGCCTGCTGCGGGAAGGAGCGGCTTTTCGAGGGGGCCCATTCGCCCATCACAGAGCGGCGGCGCTGGACGCGGCAGTTCACAGGTGCGGTCTGGCACGCACTGAAGATTGAAAGGTCGCTGCTTCGAGACTTACCGAAAGATGTAGTTTGATTTCGCACCGTTATCGACCCTAGGGTGCAGTGCCCATGACTGGTGGTAGTTTTCCTATGTCACGTTAACCAAATGATTCAGTTCACGGGTTATATAATCCAACGATATCAAACAGTGTTGCTCGGAAAATGCATTTAGTGCGTATGATGCACCAATTTTGCGTGTTCCGACCCCTTCCTGGAATTGTTCACGGATCCCGGCCTCCCAACAGAGAACTCAAAACGAAACATAAATTTTCTAAATTTGTTTGCCTGCGTTTGTTAGAGAAGTTTGCTCGAGACACTGGTAATGGGCAGAACAGCCACCACGCAATGTACTAGCGTTTAAAGCAGCTTACCTGATCAAATATTGACATTTTTGTTGAGGCAATGCGTGTGCTAACAGCTAAGCTGCTCATCGAAGAAACAGTCGCATTAAAACACTTACTAGAAGTTCCTATGTTGCCGGACACCTCAGGATTGCAGGCGCATAGTTGACGAAAGGTAGGAGTTAGAAACCCTGCTGCCATATGGAAAGCTCCAACTGGCTTTTCGTATTTCGGCTTGTTTGTTGTCCACATCTTTATGAAGCTCTTGCTGATATGTCCGCACTCTGGCGTGTTGTTGGAAATGTGTTAGGAAGCAGAAGCAGTTCTGGAAGATGGAATGCCATTTAAAGTCTACACATGAAGGTCTTGTTCCGTGCAGGCTGAACAAAGCTAAAGGAAAACTTTATCACCCATTGTGTAGTTAAAAGTTCTTGAAAAGCTCTTCCGTTGTGCTTTCAGCTTACAATGGCCATTACACCATTTCAGCGTTACACTTTAATCTTGTACTGATTGTATTTGCCTGGTGCATGCATGGCGGCCCAATCCCCCGCGGTGGTGCGATCAGTCCTCTGACACGTGACCCTCCGCCAGCCTG